TGTTATTTAGGAGATAATGATACGACGTCAAGGCCTTTATGCCAACGAAGAAGCTCGCACGGTGAGACCAAGCAGCACTTCTCATCGTGTGTAGCAGCATGTGCGTCAGTTAAAAGAAAGCAAAGGTTAAGGGGTACAACAGATCGAAAACGTGACAAAGTTGGGATGTTGCAATCTGCCCCTATTTTAGTATAAACTACATTTGCTATGTTCCCGCTTGGAGTAAGACAACTTGAAAGTGAAAATTACAACAAAGTGATGCCCTAAAGTGCATTTTCCTTACAATGCTTTCATTCAATGCAAGTTGCTGCCTATAGTAGGGGTATGAACACTAGCAAAACATGTTAAAAAAGCCAGGCAACTCAATCTGACTAGTCATAGCAACAGTTAACTTGTAACAAGCTTTTAGTATATTGTAACTGGTTAAAACAGGTGCCTTGTGAGAGATTACAGCAAACCGGGGAAGTTATGTTAGGAATAGACTTTTCATTATAGCATACAGCAATGCTAGGTATACTTTTATATAACTGCTCTGCATACCTAAATTGTCTTATTATGTCAAACTCATTAGCCAAAGCTACTTTAGTGTTGGTGTAAAGTAGAGCATAGTTTAAAGAGGCAATAAAGCCAAATGACACTTTAGACTTCAGTGATGAATTGGTGTTCAGAGCATTTAAAATGTCAATATCATTGATAACAATGGTTTAATAATAGAGATATCAAGGTAAATGTATAAGACATGAGCTGTGATATCAGTGAGATTTTCTCATACCAGCCTGGTGATATACCTTATCAGTATAGCTACATCACTAGAACACAACCACTTATGATTGATGTAGCCTGACAGGTCACTGCACCATGGAATGATATAAGACTTGTGCGCTTCCATAGGCAGTGTCCAAACTCGCATCCTAACAATAGTTTGCCCCTTTCTGTTCATTAATACAGATCTCTAAGGCTATGCTTTTGAGTGCTGCAAGAACAAAGGTAGACAGCGGGAATCGGAAATGCAACATGAATTGAAACATCATCCATTGAAAGTAGCAAAGGAGGTTGAAAAGTAGGTTAGGCAACAGAAGCCCAACATCATTAACTTATAGACAGGTTGTTGGATTGTTCCGAACAGCATTAAAATGAAACGATGACTAGATTATTGCCCACAGTTATAGAAAATGCCCCAAGAGGTAGCCAAGTTAAAATAACAAGCAAATTATGTGATTCAAAAGCTTGACATCTTTCCCTGAGCAGCTAAAACCAGCGAATGCTGCACTCAGCAGATAGATATAATGCCAAAAATGTGTCAAAAGTCTAATTTTTTTACTGCTGCTACTGTTTACCAATCTTCTTAATCAGCAATGCTTTCTTATTGCCTAGACTACTGGCAGTTAAGCGACAAGTTGTGGAAACAAGCAGCTCAAAACAAGGAACAGCATGTTTCAATTGTTACTGTAGGATCAGTTGTCAAGATCTATTTGGTTGTTGTCTTAACGTGACTAATGTCCCTTTGTTCTCATTTTCGCTGAAATCATCTGGGCCATTTCAAAACTGAAATGTACGTTACTAAGTCACCTTTTAGCTTTTTTGCAAACAGAAAAAAAAAAGAGAGATGGGAGCTGAGATTAGGTTAAATATGGGGCTAGGCCATTTCTCGGGATTTCGTGAAATTAAAGCACTGTTCAAAAATGCTAATCATTGCCTGCTAGAATTTTAAAGCACTCATAGTGCCAATTGTTAGCCTATATGCCTTTATCATGCTGCCTACTAAATTTGTTTCAATTTTGCATAACATAATTAAATACATGAAAAACGCACAGTGCTGTCAAGATGCCAATGACTAAGTGGTTAAACCAAGCAAGGAGGCTATGCAGAATGTGGTCATCGGTACAACGCAGCCGATCCATGACAATGATTGATTCCCGGTGACAGAGCAGCCAGTACAGGCCACACATTGTAATAAGCAATAAGCCTGCACCGTTAACATACAAACAGTAAAGACTGCACCCCTGGCACACTTTTATTACAGTGATTCTAATGATAATAATGAATTCGGGCTGCAATCACAATGCTACAAGAATTTTTCTTTAAGCTGCCACTGAAGAAGTTGAATATCCTCCCCTAGAAGCAAGACAATCGGAATGTACTCATTTAAACTGGCTCTCTAATATAGGTTAAATTATTGCCTAAAGCAACTGGGCGAGTGTGCTGTAAGATGCAATATAGTATTCGCCACTTGAGAGTTCTGATGAACATACAAAACTGCTGGATTATGACGTATATCCGGCACAAGCTTTCTTGCCTTTGGTAACACGTAAACATTGCTTGTGAACTACATCCATCAAACGGACGTTTAAAGGCTGTGGTACTAATATGAAAAGTTGAGAAACCTTAATATGGCAAGAGATAATTTGAAACTGCAAGACTAATCCCTCTGAAAACCACTTCACAATTAAAAGCTGAACCACGGTCACCGTTTCCACAGTGATACTTTCAGAATGCAACGGACTACACAAGGTACTGCACAAGGCCCATTACGACTGCCCTGCAGAGAACTTGGCGACTTTTGGCGCGTGGTCAACACAACCGTATGGTTCTTTCACAGAAGACTGTACTAAGAACTGTTACGGCACCCCTGTCTTGAGCGCACTATGATTGATACCACTAGGGCCAGAAAGCTTGAGGACTAGCTGTTACACGGAGCATCTGTTTCGCTTCTGACTTCGGGTTGGTAACCAGCACGGCTACAGACCTTACCATATATAGGGTACATCTGGCAGCTGTCATGACTGTTTCAAGTTTCAAGCAAATAGCTTGTAACTGCCCAAGCCGTTCTTAAAAACTTCAGGATGAGGGGGTGTCAAAAGCAGTGATAAGTAACTCTAATGCCGATTGGTTGTTGCTACAAAGTAAGGTTCAACGTTCCTGCACTCGGAGCAATATGGTTGCAGATAAAACTTACAAGCTAACAGGGCACAAAAGCAAATCTGCCTGCCACTGATGCCTAGCAGCAAGAATGCAGCAGCCATTTAGGTTGTAAAAGATTACATATGCCGAAATCTTTCATGAGCCGTGAGAATGTCAAAGTGAGAAAATGTGATAAGTTATCTAGGAAATCGGGCTAAAAGTGACTGGTACTGACTCTACAGCCAGAGTCGGTCATGCTACATATTACGATATATTATAGCAGATATCCATACTGAAAAAATAATAAAACTGTCAGCCCTATTAGTGAACTGTCATCGATCTCCTGCAATAAACTGGATGATATCACGTCTCACTTCATCTCAAACACCTCAAGAAGAATCTAGTGCAGCGGCAGGACGACTGGCTTTTAATCCGGTACTATCACAAAGTGAGACGACATTCTTAGCACATGGTGTATGCTCTGTCATTCTAGAAATGCTCTACTAAAAATGACAAATTTGTAGATGCTCTAGATTTTTTAATAGTTGTAGTTGCATAATCACATATCTTCTGAATAATTTCATTGAATTTTGTCACCATTCAGTAGATGCACTTACCACAGCAGAGGAGAAACAAAACCGAGGAAATCCTTTGGAAAAAAAAAAAAAACAAGTACAGGGGATGAACCCAGTTTCAAAATGCATGCATTTACATTTGTCCCCAAACTTCATGATCGTAGTGGTAGGTGCCAGTGCTCACAGTTTCTGATGGGCACGCTTTATTGCTAATACCAGCTGCATATTGTGGGCCAAGTTTTGAGCTGCATTTAAATTCAGGAGGCGTCTAAGACACAAAAGCTAATAGAGAGATTTTGCAAGTTATGAAAATATGGTACGCAAATACAGTAAGACTGTACCGTAGCATTCCTTCTTTTCCCTCATTGTGCTTTTGCCATTCTCTGTTCCAACGATAGCGTGTCCAGTCTTGTTAACAATATGTGGGCTGACAGGCAACAATGAGGAGTGACAACACCATAGTGACTTTTTGAAAAAGCCTTGGCATTGTGGGGTGCTTTCACCGGCAAAAGATCAGCGACCGGGAAAGGAGGAGCTGTACCATCATATGATAGCGTTATTGCGCGCCATATTTCCATAACTTATCTTAAAGCTCTACTGTTTGGCTGTTGCATACAAACAATGCCTGCCAGAAGGTATGCGGTAATCAAGTGAAAGGTGGCCCTCCAAGATGCTTAAGCACAAGCAAAAAACAGCTTCTTCTGGTCTTTTCACTCCAAGTGGTGAGCGCGGCGCTGCGCGACTAGTTTCGGGCTCATGGGCCGCCTTTCGGTACATCTTGACGAACTTTAAATAGGAACAGGTCCCATAAGGTATACGACAGAGGGCAAAGGTCAGCAGGTGCACAAAAGAGGAGAAATACAGTGCAATGCGTGATGCGGTTGGCTGCAAGGAGCAAAATGCATGAGATGAGTGGTGGCAAAGTGTGGAGGGAGTGCCCTGCCTTTGAGACTCCCCGTGGCCATGACTCTTGAGAATCTGAAATGGTGCAGAGACTCCATTCTGCAGTGCAAAGCTTTGCACCAACGGAAGGGGGAGGGGAAAGAGAGGGGGGAGGTGCACTGCCACTTCGAAGCACAGCTGTTAGGAAAACCATACCAGCTTTGCAAACACATGATAATCGTCCCAACCCCGTCTAAGCATAAAAAAGAACATAAGTTTACCTGGCTTGTTTACATTTAAGCTGTTTGGAAATGTGAACTTAGAACGAGCCAAGCCAACCAAAATTGAAGCTTGTTTGAATATTTGGCAGATTATGTGGTTTCGAATAATGAATACCCCAGCTATCTGTCTAAACGAGTGCTAGCAAAGAACGTGCAAGGCAAGGCATGGCCGGAACTTTTCCCGGTATCTTTTGCGAAACTTTGCACTGCCGAAAGGAACGCCCAGCTGTGCACAAGGCTAGTCGCAGCAGGATGGGTAGTGAGAGTGCAACAGAGAAGACCCTCAGTGGTAGAGGAGAAGGCAGAGGGCAACAGACTGGCGGCTGCACTGACCACCTCTGGTGGTGACAGCCCTACTCACGAGAAGGAATCTTCTTGAAGACCCTTTTGGCCATGAAGTCCTGAAACCGTTGTGCATAGAAGCTGGGCCTGTGCACTGAAACAGAGTCCTGCACAAGCAGAGGAAGAACGACGACACAAAACTAAATTAGGTCTCGCCTGATGTTTCAAAGTGCAGCTACTTTGCGCGGCAAGGACTTGCAATTAATTCACGAGTAGATATTAACCAAATAGCAATGTGTTACTGTTTGCAAAGGTTGATTTCTAGCAAGATGATAAGTTGGGCCAGTTGGATTATGCTCATGTTTGAAAATTTGGTTGAAGCCCACCAAAAAAAACATGGGCAGAAGAGGCTGACAGGACAGCATTTACTCTCACAACTGAAGTTTCATTCAAGGGGGCACTAAAGTCAAATAAAAATTTACGTCAGAATAAAAGCCCAATGTATGACAACATCTAAAACGTCAACGTCATCAACAACAGTGCCCTACTTACTCAGAAATTAAGGTAAATGCACAAGAACACAAGCGCTGCACTAGGACATTTTCAAAATGATCCCGATGACATTAGACGGACCGCCCACAATTAATTACTAGTAATAAATCTAACTGCACCAACTGCATCAAGAGAGACAATAAAATGCTGCTTGTTCGTTTATTTGATTCATGGAAAAAAGAACTGTTGGGACATTACTATCGGGAATGGTGCGAGTGGTTCAAAAATTCAATTTTCGCATGGTTACATGGACAGGTGGTGCTATCTAGCGAGGTGCAGTTGAAACAAAAACATCTGCAATCTCGAAGCCAGTGGTGGGAAATCAATCAATGGCCCTTGTTGCTGCTGTGGCTCCCGCTGCTTTCGGTCTGCCGCTACTAGCGCAGTAAAGCTGGGCAATGCTGTGCACAGCAACAGTGACGTGAGCCGGTCCGGCCGGTCCGCTTCTAGAGGCGGGTAATTTGAAGTGCACTAACCCTGATGCAGACCACTAAAATGCGATTTTATTTCAAAATAGGCCCTTCCTTGGCACAAAAGTAACACTACGAGGTTTCTGGACCAGCCATTTCAACAATCAACGTTGACTTAATAGTTCCCTTAGTGTCCCTTTAATCAGAAAAAGGTATAGAAAGTGGATTCATCATTCTTCACGAGTGTGCAACGAAGCAGAGAGTAACAAACACCCTCTTCTGTCCTTGTCTTTTCAGCGTGCTTCAAACGAATTTCCAAATGCGTTGATTTCTAGTCTAGTTTTTTTAGTGTTTAGCACAGACTGAACAATTTTGCAAGACATTTACTTGAGTCTGTATTGAGTGACAGATAAATACACACACAACATGAACACACAAAAAAAAAGAAGAAAAAGAAAATGATCAAGAAATGCTGCTGCACCACAAGCAAAACCTTGAGTGGCGTAGCATGTCCTTATTCAAATAGCCAGGAACTATTTCTAGGAACAGCTTGTTTATCGCCTACTCTTTTTGATACAGCTAAATCTCAAAGTGTCTAAATGTATAAGTGCACTGGATTAAAATAGTAGACATATGTAGTTATATCACAGTAACATAAAACGTCTTGAGCTGATGAACAACTGTGAACTTGGCCCTATCAAAGTTTCATGTATATGGGTAGGAGAAAAAAATCAGCAATTCAGAAATCTGAGACCACACGACACTTATTCAGAACAATATCTCTCAGTTTCATGAATTGCGTTGGGGTAAATCCAGAGACAAAGACTGAAGTTTGATGCACGACTAGCCACCATAATCTTGAGTACTGCAAGCCACAGTATTTTATATTGTTACACTATAATTGGACCCCGGCACATCTACTGCCTCTACGTGGGACCGTAGTGGATATAGAAAGGAGAGTTGGGCTAGTTGATTTGGGGTCATTTTGAAGCAGCACAAAACACGACAGACACAGAAGACTTGTCAACACGGGCGCAACATTGTGAAGTTTTCCTCTGTGCCCTTCGTCTTTTGCACTGTTTCGAAATGTAGTAGACTTGTTGCCAGAACAACAGTTTAGTACCGTAATTACTCGAATCTAACGCGCACCTTTTTTCCAGTTAAGAGAGTTCATAAATCGCATGCGCGTTAGAATCGAGTACGAACAAAAAAATTACGGTCAATCTATTGCCATCGACAAATCCAAAATGGCCGCCCCCTACGTGCGTCGGCATGGCGCGTCGGCAATTTCTGCCTATGTGTTTCCAATGTGTGGCACTTCGTACGTGTGCTGAGGAGTTCGTCATCTAGTAGTGCATTAGCATCGACGGTGTGGAAGGGCCGACTCCAAAAACTTGAGTGTACCACGATGCCGCTTTTAAAAGAAAAGTCATTGCGTGTGCAGAAACGGACGGAAATCGGGCCGCATCGCGGTCGTTCGGAGTTCCCGAAACGTGCGTGCGGGACCGGCGGAAACAAAAGCAGAAGATTGTCGACAGCAAAGTTTCACGCAAAAGCTTCAGTGGACCACAGCAGGGTCGGTTTCCGCAAATTAAAGAGCTGCTCGGCGAGTATGTGCTTGAGCAGCGAGTGGCACAGCGGCCCGTGACGACAGAACTGCTCCAAGTGCGGGCTATGCAATTAGTCTTAGAAAACGGTCTAATGCGGAGCCAGTTTAAAGCGAGCAGGTGCTGGCTAACTAACTTTATGGAGAGGAAAGGCTTTTCCCTCCGAAGGGGAACATGCATATGCGAAAAGTTTTGCGGAGGAGTACGATGAAAAGCTTCACAGTTTTCAGAGGTTCTTCCTAAAATTGCAACGCAACAACGGCTACCTGCTTGGGCAAATCGGGAATGCCGATCAGGCGCCTCTTTACTTCGACATGCCTGGCACCACAACCGCCGAGAAGAAGGGGGCGAAGAAAGTTCGCGTGCTGGCATCGGTCCATGGTAAAACTACAGTGACGGCAATGCCCTGTTACACGTCAGATGGGCACAAGCTTCGCCCGTACCTCATATTTAAATAGAAGACGCTCCCGAAAGGAGTCATTTTTTAGAGTGGTGTGATCGTGCGGGCCAGCGAGAAAAATGGGTGCGCGTTGCAATCGATGTCTTACGTTTTTTTTTTCGCGGTGAAAATCGGGTGCGCGTTACAATCAATTTTTCAAAACTATTTGAAGCAGCAAAATTTGCATTTTGGAGCAGCAAAACTTTCCATTTCGGAGCAATCTGGAGCAGCTAACTTCGGATGCTGGAGGAGAAGCAACTTGTGTTTGCATTAAAGGACATGAATAATTATTTTGGGGCTCTTGTGAAGAGCTAGAAATATTTCGATTCATTACAAATCTCATGGAGCCAATCGTGTTAGGAGCACTCCCACTCTATTTCAGTTGATGATGCAAAATAAATGGAGTCACGCTCTTGAGAATTCTGAAAAAACTTGTTCAGCGATTATTTTCATAACAAATAAAGAGAATACTGGTTGAATAAAATTGTACTTCATGAAATAACATTCTAAATACATTAATGCAGTTATCAGCTAATATGGCAGTCAAAAGCTCAGACATATTACAACGCTAAAGACTCACATGGTCCCAACTGCATTTCCCTAAGATGACTTCAAGGATAAAGAAAGGTTCTTTTTCTTCACAGCCGGTTATATGGCTGGGCGTAACATGGCATCATTTAGCTAGTCTCATAAAGCCAAACTCCTCTGGCACTCGTATCTTTGTGCTGAAACTACATGATTTAACAAACTTCATTTTCCTTTTGCAGCAATGTCTTATGTGACCAGAACGTTGTCTATACTGAAAAAAAAAAACAAAACAACAACAACAATAAACAATAATGTTCTTTACACAGCAGCGTATACATAGAGAAAAAAAAAAAAACCTCACAGGGTACCTTATGCACACGCCTCAGATGACCTGAAGGCGACAGTCAAAAAAGTTTAGAAGAAAGTTTTTGTTACGATATATGGACATCCTCAAATGGTTTTTGCCGTCACCAGGGGTGAAGGCACAATTGTTTGGGGGAGGTGGGGTGGGGGTGGGGGATACCTCTTGTTTTGAAGGGGGGCCGGGCCGGCAAATGGTCATTTTGAGCTATATTGGCCGCGAGATTAGGCAGAGTCGCCGCCTGGCGGCAACTGGCCAGGACGGTGAATTGTGGATTGCTCCTCGCGTCGTCTGCTAGCCGCACCGTGTTTCTAGGTGCGCGTACGTCATGCACGTCCTCAAAGTGTGGTTTGTCCGGTCTTGTCAGCGCGAGTGTAACTGTTTCTACATATGCTTGAAACGACGTACGAAAGCATTAGGTCTTGCCCGGCTGCTAATGCATTGCAATACGATCAGCGAGTGCAACTTTCGAGAGTGACGTTGATTGTTGTCATACTCTCCATTCACCAAATAATTTCAGAGTGAGTGCCGCTTTCCGTTTCATCGCAAAATGCTCTTGGCATCCTCCCAAACATGAGGACTATAAATGCTAAATGAATGCAGCATTTTATAGACTTGGTTGCAAAAAAAAAAATACAAGCTTCAGGTCATGCACTTGCACGCTGTTGGTAGGTGTACAACAACGGCACTGTAGTTTATCGAGCATGCAAGGAGCCTTAGTTGTGTTTATCTAGTCGTAGTACCACTACATAGAAACATTACCTTATCGCAGAAACTGTGAGACTTCGGTACTTACACTGTACTTAAAACAGAGTTACCCCTGAATGCAGAGATCTTACTTGACTTGTATTTGACTCGTTTTTGACTCAAGACAGCCTTGCCGCTCGCCATAAATCGTTTTCGAACTTGCGGACAACCTGAAGGCGACTTGGTTTGGTCGAAGTCAGAACAAGATTCAAGTCAGCTGCGGAGCTAGCTTGAAAGCGACTTTATGTGTTATTCTAGCATCGCCGCCTCTTGAATGAACGTTGCGCGGAGGTTGGCCATTGTTGAGTTTGCTTGCCACGCCATAGACATAGCATTTTGTAAGGCTCACTGCCTGCCGAAAATTCCTCGACCCGTTTTACGTGACCGAGGAAATACTGATGGAGTTGTACGACGAGGAAGCTCGATACAGATTCAGCGAAGAATGCTGTGTCGAAGCTGCTGACTATGTTGCCACTTTGTGAAGGTGGGGACAACCGAAGACGCCTGTGCCTCCAATGTTTTA